AGAAGAAAACTAAAAAGGGATGAACCAACAACTTTTAAAGACAAACTTGTCGACATGGACACTGTCGAGAACCAGACTTTCGAGAGGGAAATCGACACTCGTGTGCCAATAATTATATAAAAAATAAAACTATATATAACTATAAATATATAAATAACACTGGAAACGAAAACTGTAATGTATGGCAATTCAGTTTTCTTTTTTTATTTTAAAATTCATATCTTAACGACGCCTAAGATCACGTAGTGATTAACATAATTATTAATACGACATTTTTGTTCTGTAATCAAATTTAGTGTACAAATCTTTGTTTTATTCATTTACACTGTTGGTCATAATGGTGGAATAATTATTTTTACCCAAATTTAGGGAAGGATTTTTAAAAATTATTTATTTCTAATAGATCTAGATAATGGCATACATTCTCAGTTTTTATTGAATATTAATTTGCGAGTGTTTGTTTTACGTGACTGCTTAATCATATGTGTGCTACTATGCTAATCAGCTAGGGAACCTACGTCCTTAAAACATAATTGACAGTAATGAGGATTAATGCCTCACAAAAGGGAACTAATATAGCTGATCGACACGATTTTTATCCTGGGGCCTCACAGTAACGAGGCCATTGCTAAGCCTCTGAATCATGACTGTACGCAGTGTTTGCTAGGGTACGCGGCCCCTTCCACAAATCCCCCAAAACGAAGAAAATGCAATAAATTGTCAAACAATTATTGCATTTTCCCCCGGCCCCCAACAGGAAAAATTCCTCTGTTTGGCCATGCCTTGAACCATAATGCATGGCCCTACAGAGGATTTTTTCATGTTGGGGGCCGGGGGGAAATGCAATGAATTTTTGACAATCTATTGCATTTTCTTCGTTTTGGGGGATTTGTGGAAGGGGCCGCGTACCCTAGCAAACACTGCGTACAATCATGATTCAGGGGCTAAGCAATGGCCTCGTTACTGTGAGGCCCCAGGATAAAAATCGTGTCGATCAGCTATATTTTAGTGCCCTTTTGTGAGGCATTAATCCTCATTACTGTCAATTATGACTTAAGGACGTAGGTCCCTTAGCTGATTAGCATAGTAGCACACATATGATTAAGCAGTCACGCAAAACAAACACTCGCAAATTAATATTCAATAAAATCTGAGAATGTATGCCATTATCTAGATCTATTAGAAATAAATATTTTTTTAAAATCCTTCCCTAAACTGGGGTAAAAATAAATATTCCACCATTATGACCAACAGTGTATAACGAATAATTGTATTTCAATAGGCAGAATGCGAATTGCATACATTACGTGTTGTTAGCAACATTTAATGTATGCAATTCGCATTCCGATAGGTGAATGAAATAGTTTAGTAACGAGGTACTTCACAAAGATATGTACATTAAGTTTGAATAAATTATGAAAATGGTCTATTTAGAAGTTGTCTCACAAGTGTATTGACATAGACTTCAGTTGATTTGATTTTAAAGGCTTTGCGATCTTGTAATCCCTAAATACTTACGTTTATGCTTATTTCCATTTTAATTTATAACTATCACTAAAAAGCTCCTATGTTATAGTTTCCTCATTTTATTATAAGCAAAAAAAACCAGCACGAGGCAAAGACGGTGAGTGAGAGGAGAGAGAGAGAGAGAGAGTGAGAGAGTGAGAGAGAGAGGCGAAGAGAAGGGCGTAAGAGAGAGAATGAGAGAGGAGAGAAAGAAAATTCGATATTAAATATGCCTGGGATATCATCAAAAATAACATAACGGAGATAAACGGACTCAATATTTAAGAGGTGTCGGGGTCTAGTGAATACGTTACCAGACTGTGAATGACATGGTTGGTGGTTCGAGTCCCTCCGCTGCCCTTATGTCTTTTGGCAAACATTAATCAACACTCTCGCCACTCTCCACCCAGATGTTAATAGTCTCAAACAAACATTTACATCTATACTTGAAACATCAGCCATGTTTGATACATATTTTAAAAATACGGTACCGACTTTATTATTTATGACTACTATGAAAGCCCTTCAAGGTAAATGTACATGTACATGTAACACAAGATTCACTTGGTGAATACTTTTAAAGAGAAAGTTGAGTTCTGGGAAATTCTAAAAACAATTTGTCATCTAATCCTTTTTATGTTAGTATGGAAGAATAAGAGAGATAATTGGTTGAATGAAGAGAGTGGCTCTTCAAATGCACTCATATTCGAAATATGACATGTAACAATTGGTTGTGGACAGCAAATGGTTGGGGACCACAACTTTCATGCCACACGTTTGAGTTGTCCTATAATGTGTTCATTTCTGTGTACAGTTCATGTGACTTTTAGCACGACTGAGCCTACTAAAAAAAGAAATCCAAAATCTCACCGTAAAAACCAATACTGATGTGCTTTATGATCAGTTTCTTTCACAATGCAATTGTACGACCAGAACCTTAACTTTACCTTTAAGTAGCAATATACAGTTTCAAAAATAACAAATTGTCATGTCATCCAAAACAACAAATATTAATTATTACAAAATATGGAAAAGTACATGTATACACTTATTGCTAATTAGTTATTTCATTGTAATAAAAATCTTGGAAATAAAATCAGCTCAAATCACATATTTCAAATATTTTAATTCATTAACATCTAAAACCCTACACAAGCCCTTTCGAAAATTCAATAAGACATTTCATAAAATTTCAAGTTATATTTTGTATTATATCCTATCATAGTACATAATTATCATATCTTCTTTATTTTTGGTGAACTCAGATCATTTGATCATCCAAACAACGTTCCATTTCGAGAAATTCAAACAAAATCTTGATAAATGTTCATTGGTATTCAAGTACAACTGCTCCATGGACGGCCACTACATGGACAACTACCAAGCAGTCAACTACTATTTTAAAACAATTTTTGTCTGCTCTAATTTACGTTGTTAATCATATACATTTCACAGTTTACTTTCTGCCTGTATACTTACTTGGACCATTTTTAATAAATACGACCAAAATACTTTTTGGGGAAAAACCTCACTCTGATATGACGCGGCAAAACAAAACGGTGGCTTTTTGTTGTTTGGATGACGTAAAGTGTAATATAGCCGACATCAAATTTCTGTGTCATATAACCAGGGAGTTGTTAATTTATTACAGTTATATACCTCTCTTAAGAAATCTAGCCCTCTGATTGGTCGAAATTGGAGTCGCGATTTTAGCCATTCCGTAAAGAAACGAACAATGTCAGTAACATTTAATAGTTCATGAGTGAGATTCCCGAAAGATTCCGGGTACCGGGAAAAATAGTTAAATTTTGATGAGATCCCCATCGGTTTACGTATTAAAACTTACTTTGTGCGAGGGCGGATACCAGACAATGCTTTTTGTCTGCGATTCCCAAATGATTGTAACATTCAGTCATCTTTCCAGCGAAGATTAATAGATAGTGTCTCAGATTTTCTGTGATGTTTTAACCCATCTTTGATCAAGAAAAGGATAAGGTACGAATTCTTGGTAGATTTTTGTGTTAATTCGGTATATAACAGATATATCGACTGCACTAATATTCGAGACCTGGCTGTTTTTATACTGGCTCTAAGGGGGGGGGGGGGGTCGCCCGCCCAGGCGCACCTCGGGGTCATGGTAGGATACAACAATAAATCTCTCTCTAAAAAAAGTTAAATATGTCTTAAATAGAAAGGCTTATCTATCATCTTAACACTCACCCGTTCATAAATTCACTGTTATATTAAAAATGGCCAGCACCACAGGCTGAAAGGGAAAATTTACAGGGAAATTAAAGGCAAAATATTACTAAATTCAATGCAAGTCAACAATACAAACACCGAAAGGCACAAACCGAACATAATACATCTGCATAATTGTAGGCATAAAATAATGTACGCACAAATAAGTACTGTAATTTCAATCATTCTTACACTGTTCTGTTCTAAACCCTGGTTCATAAAACTTACGATCACTTACAACTGTCACATTTTTAAATTTGCCGACAGCCAATCAAAATAATGTTATAATTCCAGTAGCTTATAGCAGTTATTGTTTGTGATGCCTCAGTCACACGAATGAAAACGACACCAGACCGATAACACACCGAACAACAACAAATGGCCAAGCGTCGGTCGTTTTGGAGTAGGTATGAAGTCGGTCTCGTTGGTGTGACTTGAGGTATATCAACTTTCACAAAACACGGCACCCCCTGGGCCCTGTTACATAACACGTCACGATTAATTTACCCCCCCCCCCCCTCCCCCACGACCCCATTATCATCCATCCAATGCGCTGGATAATGAACAAAACATATTAAAATAAGCTTAAAATTGCCGACGAGATGACGAGATAATTTGAAAGAAGAAGATAAGAAGACAAGTTAAACAATTCGACTTGCCGAATTGCAACAACTCCTCATCTCGTCTTTTCGTCTTGAATAAGTCGACTTGCTGAGTTTCAATAACTCGTCTTCTTGTCTTAGATTATCTCGTCATTTCGTCGGCACTTCTAAGCTTCAGCACAATCCTCATCTAAATCTATGTACACTTGAGTTGTACTACAGTTAATAGCAATGGCAGAGGAAAATTTATCATAAGTGACGAGGGCAGTCATCGTCCTGGAAAGGAAAGCCGGTTTAAGTCGTGATGCAGAAAAAAGTTCGCAACTTCTTTCGAAAAATCAACGCAGGGGCGATTTTGATACTCTACTGTAGTACTGTATATCCCATTAAAAATCATAATCTTAACTGTTACGTAGTACCGTCATGGGGGTGTTTCATAATTTCAGAAGTTGAACTTATCCCTAAGTTGGACTTAACATTTATGGAAAGCCGTTAGCATCTTTGAAATATTTGTACAAGTTATTTAAAAAGGCATAAAATGTTGATTCAAATCCTTCATATTTTCTATTATAATGGAGATTTCATGTTCTTGATGTGGAATTTATGAAAGGTCTAAAATACTTGAATTTCTGCTTTAGAATATATTTCATTTTAAGGCTACAAATGGCTCTCCATAAATTATAAGTCCAACTTAATGTGAAGTTCTACTTACAGTCTTTGTGAAACACCATGGTAAAGTCCATTCAATTCAAAAGGCGATGGACGAGGCTATTGAAATTGCCTAAGGTTGATTCTCGGAAGTCTTTGCGCTTTTGTTTCATGTTACTTGATCTAGCTATAGCATCAGTTTACTCGATACTCGACGAAAGAAACATAAATGTCATCAAACAAACGAATCCTCCGTCTCGATGTTCTTTTCCCGTAAATCTTCCTCGTTCAACTCGGGCTCCATATGGTTATTGGCATTCTCCTCGAATCCATTCGTCGTCGGTTGACCGGCGGTTTCCTCCTCTGGTTCGACATCGGGTTCTTCGTCGTTTTCGTTGGCCGCAGCCTGGTATTTGCTTCTAGGGATATAGCAGACGTACCACAGCACGACGCCGATGACGATTAGGATGATGAGGAAGGCAACGACACCGCCAATCACAGCTGCCAAGTTGAGATTTTCTATAAAGGATTTGAAGAAAAACAGATTGCGTGTTTTTAACATTTTAAGTACTTTTGCGAGTTTGTGCCTGTGGTCATCACCAACACTACCAATATCACCCAAATTATCTCCACCCCTGACAACATCACAACCACCGTAAAAAAACCTCTACCGTCGTCACCACCACCCACCATCGCCACCATCACCGCTACCACAAAACATTCATTATCACCACCACCATTACAACTCCCATCTCCACTACCGTTACCACCATCGTCACCACCCATAAAAAACCTTCACCGTTACCAGTACTATTGCACCAAACATCATCACCACCATCAACATCACTTATAACATCACCATCATCACTAGAACGCCCAATCCACCAAGAACGTCACCTCTGACACCACTACCAACAATTTGTACCACCAGCACCCTAACCATTATCATCAAAACCAAACACCAGAAACAAAAGCCCACTCAACAACAACAGATTTACCACTACCAACATTACCACCAAATCCACAAGGAATCGTACCACTGTTACCATCAGCATAGCATGCACAACCATCACTACACTGTGAAAAGGTTGGGCAATATTTGTCCAACACTTTGTCAATAGTCAACCCAACCATCTATTGGGCAATATTTTGCCCAGTAGTAACATAAGTACCCTGCTTCACACGTGCATAATTGTTTCGTATTTTGTCCAAAATGTGGGCAAAGATATGACCCTCAACTGCCCGACTACGGTAGCCCACTTGTTGGGAAAATCTTGACCAGCTGTTGGGCAAAATACGAAACAATTATGCACGTACTAACGTTTACCAATACCACTGGGCAAAATATTGTCCAATAGATGGTTGGGTTGACTATTGGCACAACGTTGGGCAAAGTGTTGGAAAATATTGCCCAACCTTTTCACAGTGTATCACCACTATTACCCAACGCAGCACCAACTAAACGTATCCTCACCACCACCAACACGACTACAACCACTGCAATCACCTTTACCACCATCATCATCAACAAAAATCACCGACCACCACCATCAACACCCCGAACAACAACAGCATTATCACTGCTACGACTATCACCAGTACAAAGATGAGCACCACCACCACCGCCACATTATTTCTACTACCACAACCATCAACAACATTACCAGCACCAATAACGCCAGCTTTATCACTACTTCAACCATGCACCGCCGTCACTGTTACCACCATCATCATCATTACCAAAAATGACCAACCACCACCATCCACACCCCTAAGAACAACAGCATTAACACTGCTACACCTACACCACCACCACCACCATCAGCACATTATTTCTGCTACCACCACCATCAACAACATTACCAGCACTAATAACGTCAGCATAATATCACTACTTCAACCATGCACCGCCGTCACTGTTACCACCATCATTACCATTTACCAAGACCACCACCTACAACATTACCCTTACCATGGACCGATTAAAAGGGGTAACTTACTCGTCTGGCAAACTTGGCATCTGATCCCCACATCATTGATATGTCTCAACGTGTCGCACCCCACCTGCGAGCCAACGGGAGGGTGGGGGCACTGAGCAATCATGGACTCCGACCCCGTGCAGTTAAGAACTCCGAATAATTCTGGAAGATAGACGAAGCAAACAGTGAAATTCACGTCGAATGCAATTCATTACTTCAATCACTTTTCGCTGGCATTCTTTATATTTTCAACTCACATTCTGCAGACTGCAGAAGTTTCTATGACGAGACCTTTCCATAATGATATTTTTGTTTTTGTTCTGTTGACACAAGTTATTTGAATTTAGATGGAAATGAATTCACTTTAAATACGATCATTTCAGTTCAGTTCAATTTATCTCAGGTCAATAATCCTACTGTGTTGTATGTTGTATTGAATCAAAATAGAATCACAATATTAACAGATAGTTGGAGAGTCATTAAAAATCAAGAGTAACGCAATTTACAAAATAATGAGACAAATGAATATCAGGCAGCATATCGATAAGACCAAGCCCATAAAAACACCAAAGAAAGATTGGGGAAGTCAGTCCGGAACCTCTGGGCGAGACCGACGCTTGCCCACCTCGGTTGTCCAACATTTGTTGCGACATCCGCTTTGGGCTTTATTTCGTTTTTTTGTTAACTGGTAAGGCGTAATCGGGTCGTAATTTGGGTTATACATGTAATATGTTTCGGGTTAGTGTTAGGTTGAGATCAGGCGCGTACACAGGGGGGGGGGGGTTGGCGGTTAAACCCCCCCCCCCCCCCATCACCCCCCATCACCCCCCCCCCCCCCTTTGGATTTTTTTTATTTATTTATTTATTTATTTATTTATTTATTTAAAAAAATAAAATTATTCCCATAGCTGACCTAAAAAGGTGACCTTACCCCCCCCCCCCCCAACGGAGCCAAATGTCAATTTTTTCAAATTTCGAGACCAAAAAAAAAAGTGTCCTCTTACCCCCTCCCCATCCCTTCCCCCCCCCCCCCCCCGCTTATTCAGCGGCTGCCTGAGTCGTTGCGAAATTTTCGGAAGGTTCGGAATTCAACTAAATGTTAGGAATTGATCGTAGAGCAACAGTCGCCGGCTCGAGCATTTGTCTCACGACCCCTTACCTGAAGCTCCAGCCCTAGCAGCGGGGTACGTGTCGCAGCAGTTGACCACCTCGGCATTCTCCGATTCGAAGCCTAGCTGACGGCAAATGACCCGGGCGTCGAGCTGGGTGATCTGCTCTTGGCAAACCGTCCCGTACACGTCGCCGTCGAAGACTTCCAGACGACCTTCGGTCTCGCACGGTCCGTCGGACAACTTCACCCCTAACAAGGGAGGCTTTCCTAAAATAATTGTAGCAAAAGTTTATAAGAAACACAATTTAAATGCTGTCTACAAAATATAATCACATGTATACAGAAATGATTTCAAAATGTACTGCAAAAGCTCATATCGCAAACTATAAGGACGAAATTCATATCGGGCGCTTAATCCTTAAAGGGGAAGTTCACCCTGATATCAATATGGTATAAATAAAAGCGGGAAGATGAGAGAAACAAATTAGTGAAAGTTTGAGCAATATCCGATTAAAAATAGGAATCAAGTTTTGAAGACGTCATCGGTGAAAAACAACTGGCAAGACTGTGACGTATTTTGCGAGCTCTTCTGCAATTTGCTCTGTACAAAAGAAAATCATTAACTTTCATTTATTTAGTTTGTTAATGACGGAATAGAATTGTGTCATAGAGGGGTTGTATGAAAACATAATAGCAAGAATTTTACTGAGAGTAAATGTATTTACTTTAGGGGGAAATATACTTTTTTTGAAGTTTGTTAAAGATAATTCAAAGTTTTGGTATAGGGTCATGAATTTGGTTCAAATGAACATATTGGAAGCATATGCAATTCTACAATATTCAGTGATCGTTGTCGCGGTTGAAATCGAGTCTAAAGTTATGAAATTGTAAATAATCCAAATATATCAAAATTGTAAAGAATCACTCTCCACCTAATTTGCAAAATTTCCCGAAATTTTGTATTACCTTTAATAAAGGGTAAATGGGAGGAGACTTCGCAAGATACGTTAGAGAGTTGACAATTTCTGTTTGATTGATCGAACCTTAAACAAACAAAAAATAATAAATTTGTTATTTTTAATCGTTTTCGGGGTAATTTTATCACTGAATAACCAACCTGGGTCCGACTCGACGTTAGTGCAGGATGCGAATGCATCGTTGTCGCCGGGGCAGCTGGTGGAACCCGTGGTATCGACATCGCAATCGGCCAGTTTGGTTTCAGCTCCAGTGCAACTCACATCCTCCCATTCATACGTCAAGCCAGAATCCTACCCGTATCAAACAAAAAACACAACAAAACAATTTTCGATTAAACACGTTCATCAAAGACTTTCGGAAAATCAACCTGAGGCAATTTAAATCGCTTTATTCAGGCAATTTAAATCGCTTTTATCCAGGCAATTTGAATCTCTTTATCCTGGCAATTTTATTCGCTTTATCAAGCACCATGTGCGAACATCACAATGCCACATTACGTAATCCAAACATGATTTACATGGGATGCTCAGTAGCGTATTGAAGTTGCACTCGAGTCTCAGGCCTGTTTTTATCAGCTCGAGATTGCCAAATATCTCGTTATTTGAACTGTCCCGATCGCAAATTATCCAGTTCATTTGCGTCTGCATCAGCGCTAAGTTGCAATTAGCGGGATATTTGGTCGAGATAATCATCCCAAGATAAATTCTCGAGCTCGAGTTTCAAGTTTCGAGGCCAAGTCTCGAGCTGATGAGGACGCGATTTGTAACTTCGAGATTATTTCCCAAATCAGAAATTGCGGGCTACTTGGCAATCTCGAGCTGATGTAAATTTGGAATTGGAGTGTATTAATTAAAATTTGGATGACATATTTTTGTTTACATGTTACACATTTCCTAGCCTTGATAGACATTTCCACTCTTGTTTTGTTTTTGTTCTTGTTTTCTCTTACGAAGGCTGAACTCGATCCCCTCATGGTGGACTACTCTGGTAAAACTTGGAAATGAGTTATAAAAATGGTTTGTTGTCTAAACTAAGAATATCTGAAGTTAGAGAGAGGGAAAGAGAGAGGGAAAGAGAGAGAGAGAAAGAGAGAGGGAGGGAAATAGAGAGAGAGAGAGAGAGAGAGAGAAGGGAGAGAGAGGAGAGACCGTTACTAAAGTGCATTCAGAATCATACAGAATGAACGTGCTAACACTGAGTTGAGTAATTTGAGTTACTGGCGCATACACGTATTGGCTTCACAGTCCTGATAAGCGTAAGTAAGATAATAGCGCAAACGAAATGACGCTACAAATGACAAGCACTCTCGTATATACCTGAAACTGATTAGCGCTTCCCAGATTCCGTAAGTTGACGAATAAATACCCGAGCTCTCGGCAGGTGACTTCTTGCTCCTTCTCGCCGAAGTTCGGACTGCAAACCTTCCCCCAGCCAAAGCCCGGCGACCACACCTCCAACCGGCCACTGGACATGTCATTACCTCCGGTCAGTCGAGGGGTCAAACCTGAAATGACCGAACAGATTGTTTTCATTCATGATGATAATGAATGTACATGGGCAAGTCCAAGATAGTTTGTCCCATTCGTCGACCACATCTTAAATGTTAGTATACAAATAATACACATCATTTTGTTCGGGCATTAGTAAGAATTACCCACAAAAGGTACCTTTAACACGCCCGAGGCGATAGCCGAGGGTGTTTGGACTGTTTTGTAGGTTCCGAGTGTGGGTAATTTTACTAATGCCTGAACAAAATTATGTGTATTATTTTTTTTTATAACATTATTTTTATTTGTTTTATAAAATGATGCTTTGTAACATGATTTTACTAATGAACGGTCATTAGCATTTGAAAATGACCGGTCACTATCAAAATAACGTGTTAGGCAAAATAAATGCCTGGTCACGTGTACGCTCTCAACCAATCATTTGATAGGATCCATGTCATCATCTTATAATAGCTGATAATTCCCTTTTCCCCTTTAAATGAAAGACTTTGTTTATTCATTTTATCAAACACGAACAAGGCAAACCCCTGTCTAACCGCGACAGTCGCTGACGCAACCCTACCTCAGGCGCATGACGCCTCGTGTGCAACGAGTATCATACTGTTTCTTACATGTAATATAAGCCGCTTTCTCATTGCATGGCTGACCGTCTGCAACGCCACTTTCGAGGCAGTCGCCCAGGTAGTTGTGTTGTACTCCGTCTGCAGTGTCACACCACACGTTCACAAGGGCGCTGTATGTTACATCTGGGATGAAAAATGATAAACTTGAGTTCTGGTAAAAAAAAAATAATAATAATAATTCTCACAGAATCAAACGAAACTTACACTGAATGTTCAAGATTACAAATAAATGGCATGTGCCAAACAATTTTGGAAGAAAATGTATACTGGCTGAGTAATGAGCAAAGAAAGATAAGGAAATCAAGGTATACTAGCCCCGACACAATTTGTGTAGCCCCATATACACCATTCTGTGTACAGGGCTTGTTACTTTACCAAGACTGAGTCAAATTGATAATGATTTTGATGACTCCAGAACTTTGCATTTCACACCGATACTTACATGCTACATGATCAACTTTTTCTGATCCATTCCACACCTTTTCTTTCACAATGTAATCGCATGACCAGTACTCAACTTTATCTTCAATAAACGTTGAGTGCCAAATAAATAAATATAGAAAGGGATGTAATTATATGTTTACTAAGCATTTTTGGTTTGGTTATATACTTTCATTATGTTAAGGGTGGAGAATAGTCAAACTTTGCAGAATGTTGATTGAGCTGGCGGGGGGGGGGGGGTGAGGGGGAGGCAAGGGATGTCATGTGCTACGTTTCGTCACGTAAAACTGGACAATTGTTCAACTTGTTTTCAATTATAGAACCTCAAATGTTTTTCGAGAACTGTCTGACTATACATCAATAATATTAATAATCTATGGGATTTCTTAAACTTGCTCGGAACATGATTCTTACTTTCAGTGAATCTTGTGACGTTCTTGATGACGTCAGCTCCATGGAATCCCAGCTCCCTGCAAACGACATTTGCGTCTTCTTTCTGTACACCCTCACCACAAACCGGCAGCCATTTGCTCTCCAGTTGATAGAAGTACTACGTCAAGGTGAAAGAAGAAAATATCACTGCTAATCTAGACGTGATCTGAATTTTTTTCCAGCGAATACTGACCCGGGCTTTATTTCGTTAATGATAGGGTTAGGATTAAGTTTAGTATAATTTATTTCCATCAAAATCAAAATCCACAAGTTTCTGCTTTTTGGGTTCCTTTTTTGTATTTGTAATTGTATTTGATGTAATTTTTTAATGATTTGGACAAATAAAACAAAAACAATTGAATTGAAATACAAAGAATAATTTTTTCCTCTTTTTTTATCGTTCAAATGAGATTTATTTTCAGCAGAGTTCAATATAAATGATAATAGTAATAATACAAATTAATGAAAATGTAGTATCACATTTAGGTAGTTCATAACATGATATGATTTGCATGTTTTGTAGAATCAATGGCAAAAAAACATATTGTAAAACGTATAATGGAAAATAATGATCCTCTAAAAGGATTAGGATGTCATGGAATTTTCTGACAAAATTGGGGTAAGGGTTAGGTGTAGTGTTTCAGGGCTGAAGTTAAGAATTCTAGTATATTTTCAGCGTAGGAAATTGACTCGGAGCAATAAACCAGTTTACTGACCTATTCAATTTCATGTAAACATTTTAAACGAAGGATGTTCTTGACAACCTGAACGCTTGACAGAAGGCTTGCCCGACATAGCAATGAATAATGTATGATTATGGATTCCAAGTACTGGGGGGGGGGGTATTGTATTTCATTCATTAACAACAGGTTAATGCAATTATCAATGGTGAATAAGGGCACTTATTACAAAGTAAAAGGGGCACCGTGTCAAAGTAAAAGGGGCACCTCTCAGATTTGACCAGAGGCAATTTTCATAGGTGGAAAGGGGCGCTTATGATAATGGAAAAGGGGCTCTTATTGCAAAGTAAAAGGTACACTTTTCTAAGGAAATGAGGCACCCACCGGAGATTAAAAGGGATATTTATGAGAAGGGATAGTGGATCTTATTGCAAAGGAAAAGGAGCACTTATCAGAAGGAAAAGGAGCACTTTTCAGAAGGAAAAGGATTCTTATTAGAAACTTAAAAGGCCACGTGTCAAAATAAAAAGGGGGTAATTATCAGAGGTGAAAACAGGCACTTATTAGAGTGGGAATGGGCACTTCTTACAAAGGAAAATGGGCACTTGTCAAAGTAAAATGGGCATCTCTTAGATTTCAATAGGGGCAACTATCAGAGGTAAAGGGCACTTATAAGAACGTGGACCAGGCACCTATTAGAAAGAAAACGAGGCACTTATCTAAAGTATAAAAGGGGCACTTTTAGGGGTACTTTACTTGCAAGAGTGGGGGATGCTGTGCCCCCATCCCCTTGCCCCCCCCCCCCCCTAAGAGCGCCGCCTCTGCACCAGGTTCACTTACTTCCAGTACACCTTCATGGATGTCCGATCCTTCGATCAAGCGAACTTTAGTTTTCGGTGTCGGCACTTGAGTGGTCTCGGCTGTGGATAGACAAAAAGACAAATGTTCACTTATGGGCACATTCATATCAAGTTCAAGTTCAAGTTCATTTTATTCAAAACCACACAAAACATGATGTAATCTTTTACATCAAATAGAGACTGGTAATAGTACATTAATCAACATATATTAACTTGATTACATCATAAAATTAATGGTTTTAGGACCCCTGTAGAAACTAAGCTTGTGAGCGGGGCTCTACAGTCAACAAAATACATACATTAACAATATGGCAAGGTGAATAAAAAGAATGAAATGTATATACAAGGGATGGAAAACAACTTACATACAGAATACAGAGCATACAAATACTCACACACGCGCGCGCACACACACGTACACACCACAAACACACTGATGAGTAGGTCCTTTAGTGGTCAAAAAGCAATTGAGAATGAGAAATTATTATGATACAAAGAAAAATTATATCAGTCTTCCAAGTAGGTACGTTTTAGATAAGAATGAGTTGTACTATTTTGTTATAGACAGAGGCGTTGCCAGAGAATTTTTAACTGAGGGGTGTGAAATTGTCACACAAATCTCTGACAAGCAAATAAACTTTTTCATCAGTGTTACTCATTCACCGATTGATAATAAAAAGTATTCTCGGATCCAATATCTTTTTATACAGAACGCTTTTATAGGTATAGTTATAGTTGCAGTTGTAGTTGTAGAGGTGAAAACAACATGTGAGCTTTCTCTTTCTATTCATTCCTACGGGTAGCAATATCCGGTGGCAATTGCACTTGGAATTGTTTGCCTTTGAAAAGCCCTCACATTCTAAAAATAACAAGAAATACAATGGAGTTAAAAAAAAAAACTTCGGAACAAATGCTGATGCCACATGTGTGTTTGCCCCCATAATATATGTGACGTGTTAATTTCAATCACTTTTGTTTCCTTCCAAAATCTCATAATTCATTACTTTATCACCAGACAGTTTATTTGTCAATGCAATTACATTACCGGTATTCAACTTCGTCTTTTGCTTAAGCACACGTGTACCCTTGTGAAGCTTGACTATTACATAGTCTGAAAAACACTCGTGTGTGTGTGTGTGTGTGTGGGGGGGGGGCGTTCCCATGTCCATATATTTTGAAACCGTAGTAATACCCATATATAGCAGGACCCCCCTTCCAATTTGCTTACCCAAAAGGTGTCAGAAAATGCGAAGATAAACGGGGGGGGGGGGGGGGGGGCTTGTCAAAATCGTTTGAGTAGAGCAACGCTAAAAAAAAAAGCGTTATATCATATGTTTTTCTTTTTTTGTTGCTTCTCTCCCCCAACACCACAACATCGTACATCCGATCCCAATGATTTTTATTTTTTTGATTTTTTTTTAAAGCATCACGGTTGATTCAGAATCCTTGATTCAGAATCTAATAGAAAATAGCTTCCAGACATTTCTACAGTAATTGAAAACCTATGTTACTGTCATCCGAAATCAAAATAATGCAGTTTTGTTATATTTGTTCCACACTCATTATTTTGTATTGCACGCGCATTATATTTTGCAGATACGAGGACAAATCATCATAAAGCAAAACAGATAATTTTTTAAAGGCAGGTTGATAACTTTATGGGCTTGAAATCTAATAACAACTCAAGGTTTTAACTACAAAAGATGAGCAGGCGTCATTGAATTGTATTTAATGGAATATCTATGGTTCACAGGCTCATTTTTCATTCGTGGCCTTCTGACTGTTTATTGCGATTTGTCATTGAATAGATGAACGAGTTTGAACTCCTCGACCCAGCTTCGACCTCATTGTCTGATTCTAATACCATGCGATGACAATAACACTTTTGTGCATCGTTTAACAATGTTAAATCTGACATGCCGGCACTACGTGTTATCAGTGTCTGTGATATGGTGTAATATTGAAGCCCTAAACAAAAAAAAATCGCGCTTCAAAATGTTGAAGAAGTGCCTCAAAAAATTGAAAAAATCTTTGAGTGACCCGTTTTACCATACTCGTTTTTTCCCAATAGACCGTAGTGTTATGAAAACCGTTAGGAAAACGCAAATTTGGTTTCGATTTCTAATCATAAAAAATCTTGATAATCAGACAGGCGATCGGCTTGTAAAAGTCATGGGATTCCTGACTGACCTAAAGGTTTATAATTATCATTGCAGCATGAGCTTAAATCCAGGATTTTGTTTCAGAATCTGAGACAAAGTTAATGAATCCCTTTAATACTTTAAGAGGAAATTTGAAGAATACAAAAGGGCAAAAGCTTGCTTCGTGTTAAAAATACACACCGAATGTTTTGCTCGAACGTTCCAATAATATTGTGCAATATTCTTAAATTCTCAAACTTCCAATCAGAGAGCCTAGAAAGCACTCTCTGACATAAATTTGTCAAGTGAAATGTAATCCTATTTGTACAAGTCAATGGCCTTTTATGCTGATTGTTATAGTTATGGCTAAGCAATAATAGGCTTGGAATTTTTAGTTGACTTCCGCATGCAAATAGCATGACGCATGGCTCACAAGTAGGGTCTTGCATTGTGACGATTTTAGGGGAAATGAAAAAAAATTCATATCGTGGAGGAAACGTCAAAAACGTCCATCCATTGAATAGTGCAGTTCAAAGTCAAATCAAATCAATTTTTCGTTTCATGTATCCAATTTGCAGGCCCAAAAACTGAAAAGGTTAAATTTCAACGGCATTTGAAAGACAATACTAATTTAGAACTTTCCTTAAAGGGGGGGGGGGGCTTGAAAATGTTTTTAAGTGGGAAAATAACGACTATTAGTTGTCGATTAGGACTAAGGAGCTATAGAGCCAGTAAGTAATAGTCTGATTTTTCAGACCATTGTACCGAATGGTCGTACGTTTTATGCTGCGCAAAGATTCGATCAGTCTAATTTGGGCCATTACAAGAAGTGGGTTATTGATGTAGTCAAATGCTCATGTACCCTCTACAGCTCATGTATGTATGTTATTACCAACGATGAAAAAAAGCCAGTCAGTCACTCAATAGTGTCTGACAGTGAAGTCTAGAAAGTAAACGGTTTCCTTGCATAATTTGAATATTAGGACACTGCTAAAGTTTAAATTTCACAGATAGGACATACGTGACATATTCATAATTCCTGCAAAGTTCTACAGAATTCGATGTTGGCTGCAAAAGGGACATAGTATCAAAGTACTGCAAAGTGAACGAATCTGTCAAATGCTTATTTGCTTTGTGGATGACGGTAACCTATGCTATTTCTTTTCCTTGTAATTAATAAAAACCATGTCTAACTACACAACAAACTAATCAAGGACTCGGTATAGTATTAATGCCTTCATTCGCAACGAGCTGCCGAGTTTGGTTAAGTATTTCGAAGGCTAGCAATATGGAAAATGTTGACTTTTACAAACACCCCACCACAGAGTACATAAGGCCATTCGGGGGGGGGGGGGGAGGGGCGGTGTTCTGGGATGAAAAGAGATAGAAATCGCGAAAATGGGGAAGGTACTGGCATGATAATAAAATTGACAGAAATTATTAGAAAGTTACATGAGCCCGAGACTAAAGAACAAAGCAGAGAGAGAGAGAGAGAGTGAGAGAGAGAGAAAAAAGAAGAAGAAAAGAATAGAGAAGGACAGAAAATGAAAAAGTGAAATTGAGATGGAGAGAGAAATAAATAAACGCTTCTACGGTTTATCCTATATGTATCTACCGATTTCCCAGATTGTTTTTTTTTTAGACCAATGTTAGAAAAGGTTTTGTTCAATTTATACATGTCTATATATGTGAAAATACAATCTACTACTTGTTTCCACTATACCCGGCGATAATCTATCCAATATAACTCAAAATAAGAATTGCTATTTAATATTATATTTTGAAATAAATAATGTCACGTTCACTTTTTTGTAATAGTTATTATTGAACTATTATGTTATATGCTATTTCCTTATATTACATGTTGTCTTGTACTGTATTTCACTGTAAATATGACAATAGGCCTAGTACTTGTGCCATACGTCTTTTTGTTATTCAATAAAACCGATATTTAAGTGAATTGAAATTTGAATATTGCTCGCTTATGTTAGTATTTTTGTTTGTATACCAACTAAGAGCTGACTGAGGTGTAGAAAATGGGTGACAAATTAGTGCGACTTTATATCCAACGTTAATTATTTTTTTTAATTCATCATTCACTACTGGTGCTTCTATATCATTATTACAAAATTAAAAAAGTAGATACGCCTATAATTCATATCAATATTAAAGTAATATATATGTACATGTATTTCCTACACAAATTACCACTGAGCTACACGTAATTTTTTCACACTTGTATACTCTATGTGTACATTATGTATATCCATTTAGAAGCAAGAAAAACAACGATTGTGTACTGCATCATTGTCATTTAATATATAAAACTTATTATTCAATAGGCGCTCTCTCTCTCTCTCTCTCTCTCTCTCTTTTTCTCTCTTTTTCTCTCTCTCTCATTGTGTGAAGAAGTGCATGTGAGGAAATAAATCGAAAGAGAAATCGTACATTCTCGAAGTAGATGATGATGAAATCAAATTATAAAACAAATATTGGACGTTGTCCACCTAGATCTATGTTTGGCATGGAAATTTATCAAAATGAAAAATGAAAAATGAAAATGAAAACAAGGTCATGCTTATATGTTTTGTAAAACAAATAGTCAAGTAGGCCGATTTCCTTATAAATACAAAAACACAAATTAATAGATGAAATAATCTACACAACTATATGGTACACATTTGTATCTCTGTGGATTAGACAAGAGGATATCAAATTAGTAGTGACTTACCCTGGACTAGGCCTACCCCGACAGAGACGATGGCAAGAAGAAGGGCCAGGATCCATTTTCGATCCTGCTCACGAACACTAGACGATCCGCAGGATATACGCGCGGTTGTCGCCATTATTTTTGCCGTACGCACACACAAGAACTGCCCGATTGTCTATATTCAGAATTTCGCGCGCTTCTCTGACCTGTCCCGTTTCCTGCTTTGGTCGCCTAACAGAATAGAGCAAATACAGAAAGCCTGGGCCTGAATAGTTTCCAAGATATGTTTCCCTTTAACGTGCACTTATCTTAGAACGATGTGATCTGAGCTTGTCAACAGTTCAACTCCTTTAACTTTGTAGGATCGACTATGATTCAATTATTTTTGTATCACTTTGCACGAGTGACGTCTGCTACGCTACAGAATAAAATCAAAGCATCTTCGTGCAATGGTATGTGCCCCGCAATGATCAACTTAAACTGTCACAGATCAGTGCACAGTATTATGACTGGCTAATAATACATGCATCGGGTCGACCGTATGGATCAGAACGCCCAATATAACAACCTCGAATGGCTTTTGGAAGTAGTCATGTTTGCTCGAAAAGGACGAACAAAAGATATGAAACCACAATAGGTGTGTGTTTATCAATGACACAGTGCGAGGGTGAGTGTGTGTTGTCCTTACACAGCGCATTATTTGTCTTCTTTTGATAGAAAGGTAGAAAATTGACATGACCTTCATTTAAATGTAAACACCAATTCCAGTCACAACCGCAAAACGTACTCCCAATCGATCGATATTGACATATCTTGCATGGTCAGGTCAGGTGGGAACCCCGCCAGTTTGGGAGAGGGAGGGGGGCAAACACCAGCGGGTCCCAACTTCCGATATACTAAAAACGTAAACAAAATTAAGTTCCTCCCACATGGAACAAGTAAAATTCTCATTTTTCCAGTTTCATACATTGTCTGATAATTATTTCCAAGGCGCTGGGTTTCCAGAAGAAAATGCTTTCATAATAATAATATCTTAATAAGTAGAATAGCGCTTTAAACATTACAGAATGTAAAGAGAAACATAATATACATAGACTCATGGAAAAAGTACATCACATTATGCTACTGAGGGAAGAAATATGTTTTAAAGGATCTTTTGATAGTGGCAAGACATGTTAAAATCTCCCTGCACGGTCACTGACAGGTGTTTATCTCATCAAATCACCTCTCAATTAACATGAGAAAAAGGGGGACCAATGGTCACCACTTAGGCATTGGTTGCTTTATAGAGGGCGCAAGTAGCTATAAGTAGTGCAGTGAAGCTTTGAAGGTACTATGTCCCATTTGCAGCCAACATCAAATTCTGTAGAACTTTGCAGGAATTATGAATATATCATGTATGTCCTATCTGTGAATTGTAAACGTTTGCAGTGTCCTAGTATTCAGATTATGCAAGAAAACCCGTTTACCTCCTAGACTTCACTCACTGTCAGACACTATTGAGTGAGTGACTGACTTTTTTTTTAAAATCTTGGTAATAACATACATAAAATGGGCTGTAAAGGTACATGAGCATTTGTCTACAACAATAACCCACTTCTTGAAATGGCCAAAATTAGACTGATTGAAACTTTGCGCAGTACAAAACGCCATCTCTTTGGAATGCTCATCCACTGAGGATCTGATCACTAGAATCCCTAGAAACATTTAAAAAGAATCTAAAGTCATATATGTTCGCATGTTATTTTAGTTAATTATATGTTGAATGTACATCTATGCATTTTTTTTTCTTCCCCCTTCTCATTTCTCTATGTATCTCATTCTAATTCTATCCCTCTGCGCCTCAGAATAGTTAACTAGATCGATGGCGCATAATAAATGCTGTATTATTATTATTATTATTACGACCATTCAGTATAAGGGTCTGAAAATCAGACTATTACTAAAATGATTGCAATCACTAAAGCTCGTTATTTTCCCACTAAAAGACAATTTCAAGGCCTTTCGTTTTGTGGGAAGTATTAAATCAGTATTAGCTTTCCAATGCCGTTGGAATTAAACCTTTCATTTTTTGGCGTGCAAATGAGCATTGCAATGACATAGTAGTCGTTCAGATGAGATGGATGATTGAGATTCCTCGCGCGAACGCACACGAGCACACGCACAGAAATACGCGCACACTCACACACACTTTGCATACCCACGCACACGTCCTAAACTGATTTGAAGTATTTTAACAGCATTTTGAAGAGACTCTTTCACGATCTAGAGTCACTTAATATATATATATATTTTTTTTTTAATTTTATCCAAAACGTGTTTTTTTTTTATAAATCCAAAGATGGATAATTAGTCCATTTTCCCTCATAATTAACCTATAATTTAATATTATCCATGTTTAACCCGTTCATGCAGTGAAATAAACTATCAGGAATATGTGAGAGCCGTTTCATATCAATAACTTAAAAACTTCATGTTAAATTGAAAGATTTATAAAAAAATAAGTCACTTTTGCAATAAAACTGTAAATATGTAGGATTTTGCTGTTTGGAGAAGTTCATTTATATCGGAATTAGAAAGTTTACTCAGGTATTCTTTAATATATTATCTTTCAACTGGACAATTAAAAAATAAAAAATAAATAAACAAATCACCCAAAATGACTTTTGGCGCACTTTGGTTCCTCCCTGACCTACTGTGCGCTGGCGTTTTGTATTGTCCGCAGTTAATGTTTTCTCATCTGTTGAACAAAATAATGTGTTTCATTAACAGTGAAAGATTTCGTGATATTGTTATTCACTTAATTCATAGGTAGGCCCTATAAGTTCAGAAAGAATTCTATTTCACAAGCACGTCCTGTAAACCTTAAAGGGGGTGAAGCATGGACAATACTGGTTAACGCCATTTACGACTTCTTTTGGAAAACTGCACGTAAACGAATAGACTTGATTAACGGTTAGTGCGCTAGCGTTCGCGAAAGAGACTGAAGATCTCCTCACGCTTCGGTTTCGCGTATGTTGCATGCACGTGAATACTGGGGTCGCGTAGTCCGCAGTCGTACCCGCTTGACACCGAGTCAGGACACGAAATACACGTAGTCTCGTCATGCTACACCCCCTTAAAAAAAGCATGACATACATGAAATGTCTGAGGTTTGAAACGAAATAAAATTCTCAAGAAATAATAGTATGATTACAGCAATGCAGGTGGAATAGTGAACTGTGATTTATTGCCTGAATATATGCTGATTCTTCGGCACAAGCGTTAATGACAATTATTACGAGTAACCTAGTTGTATCAATACATTCACCGACGCTTGTTTATACCTTAGATACACAAACTCTAATAGATTACATTTTTACCACAGATAGAGATATGCAATATCTCCACACAATCAGTTCACTAATTACTTGTATAGTCCTACATGTATGGCAACACGAAAATGACAGCATTGTCAATATGACATTTTCTACACCACTTGTGAACTCAGCTTATTACAAAATGGCAAAAAATCCTACATGAAGTTTTTATTATTTTACTTTAAACAATTATCCTATTCATTTCTTCAGACTTCTGTAGAGAGACATTTTCGTTCTGGTAGATATGAATCTAATAATTTTTTTTCATTCTTCAAATACCATAGTACAAAATTAGAAAATATTGCTCTTGCTAAATGCTCTCATATTCAGGAAATGGCGAGAAATAGCTCAGTTTGGACCAAACTTTCTTGTCACATGTGATTGATCCCATACACACATCTTTTTACTTTTAATTATTACTTATGTACTACATCATGAAACTGTTAACCTTTCCTATGCAGTAGGTTCTGGGCAGTTTTTTTCACAATATAATGGCATTTCGAATACTCGACACTACTTTAAGAGGGTATTCAGTAGAAGCCAAACATTATCATACAATTTTCTGTTTAACATATGGAAATATAACAAAATATAAAATGTACAGACAATAAAACTCCTCAAAATTCCACAGTTATCACTTTAGCAATACGTACCTGTATTTAATAGTAGCTTTTTTCTGAATTTAAGGAACGGCTCTCTTTATTAAAGGTAATACAAAGTTTTGGGAAATTTTGGAAATGGGTGGATAGTGATTCTTTACAATTTTGATGTATTTGGATACCCCTGTGGATGTAATATAAGCAGTAGAAAATTTAGCCCCTAAAACACTTCTGCTTTCGAGAAAAATTGAATATAAAAATTTACCGGTGCTCCCGGTAAATGTTGATATACATTTCAATTAGCGTCTACGGCCCTACGATGGTAGCTGCGACCATGAAAATATCAGAATAATTATGTAGTTGTGATATATAATTTCCAAACGGGAATAGCTAATCGGTCGATTTTAGTCCAGAAACATTGTTTTAAAAACTAATTTAATGTCTTGACCTTGAGAGGGAGCTATACAACATAAAGAGTTTATTATTTACAATTTCATAACTTTAGACTCGATTTCAACCGCGACGATGATCATTGAATATTGTAGGGTCGCATATGCTTCCAATTTGTTCATTTGAACCAAATTCACGACCCAATACCAAAACTTTGTATTACCTTTAAACTAGCACTCTTCTGTCAAACCATCTCTTCTGATATGGAGCACAGTCATGCAAGAGTGTGTTGAGATAAAGTTCCTATATCAATCATACATGTTTGGCAATGAAATTCAATTAAAGTCAATACCTTTGTATTCACTTTAAGACCATCAATACTACTGAGCCAGAAGGGATTAGACCACACAGCGAGGTCACTTACAGGTGGCTATCTCATTAATTCAGCTCTTAACTAACATAAGAAAGAGAGGATCATGGGTACCAACAGGCACCGATTAGGGAAGTTTGGTATAAAGAGGGAGCAAGTAGGACATTGGGGCTTTAAGCCACCACATCGTCTATTGCTTGCAGTAAGTCCCTTTTCATTATTTAACTCGGTTAGAAAACCGTGATTTAAATATGAGGTTGGTTTCAGCAGACACAGAAACATTACAACAGAGAAGTAGATCGGTGAATATTGGAATAAAACGTGATAAATAATGAAGAATTTTATTCAATAAAACGTATCTTTTGAGATCATCTCCCCTTTATTCTGTACAGAAATTATTTAAATTGTAATTTTCTTACTTTTTGATGAAGGATTCCTTTTCCAACAGGGGTTGTGTAAAAGACATTTGTGCAAAGAAAATACTTAGGAAGCTTGAACGATTGGATTTTTTTGTTTAGAGAAAATAACAGTTTCTGATTTTTTTTTTCTTCTCCAGTTTTGTGTGGTAAGAGCAAAGGGAGGGGAACTCGCAAGATTCGTCAAAGAGTTGTCAATTTGTGTTTGGTTGTTTGTGACTTCAAAAAATAATAAATTCCATATGTATCAGGTTTTGCTCAAACATTTACCGACCTGTTCTTTAATAATATCTGTGCTTCTACTGAATTTACCAAGATTTAGGTGGATTTCCCCTTTAATATTTTGACATGGAATCAGGTAGTAGACTGGTACTTGTTATGTTTGGCCAGTTGAGAAGAACTCAAACAAATGAAATAACACCAGAAAGTACCATGACTATTCAAACGTTGAATCATGATAATATCCTCAACCGTTACAGTAAAATACGATATAGTTGAATATACAACAGTAAAATTAGATTCTGTAGCATCTTTGTTTTTCGGGCATTTTGTCTTCGAGAAGCTTTGCTGTCGAGGGAGGGCCTGGAATCTCGTCCTCTTCTTGCCGAGTTTATACCACTGGATCTAAATTTATAACGTCTGTGAAAAAATTAAAAAAGAAGAAGCAATCATAAAGTTAAAACAGCATTTGACATGTAATGTTGATGGGACAGGTGCAAATACTTATGCATGGAATGAAGGGTATCATACAATACCAAGACGGTCCTCTTATATCAAAAGTAGAAAGTGCTCAAAATTTATGTAAGAGGAAATCATATTTAAACTTTGGGTTATATATTATGCAAAAAGAAACTGAAATAGGTAATTAAATGTAGAACGATATATGAAAAGGAGAAAGATCTGGAAGTCCTGACCGAAGTTTGGAAACAAACAAAATAACTATTATGGTAATATTCAGAAATTAAGAGAAAGTTCTGTTATTTCCTTTTAAAGCTATTATTTCCACACAAACAAACAATTGATGTGATTCGGTAGAGAACTTCCTAATGTTCTTTGTGTCTGAAATTGAAAGAGAAAAAAGTATCATATTTAAGAAATATTTGTAATTTACTTGCCAGCTTAGTGAGCCCACGTCTACAATTTGCCTTCATAGTGATCGGACTTGGGATGCGTTTAATCGACACTTTTTTTACCCTAAAATCACGATATTTAATGACGTTTAGTTTAAAACACGTTCCGTTCCAGTGATTTTTTTTTCGTCGGTCGTAAAAATAAATGTGTTCAAAAACACAAACATGAAACGCTGAAAAAGATGCGTTTTGTATCATGATTCTGCAGAATCACGGTCGCTAAAATTCGATTGAACGAACGGAGTTCTCAATCATGATTCTATGGCGTCATTTTTGTGGCCTGTTCCGGTTTGGGCAAAAACCGCGCGCCTGCTTTTTATGCTATTTGCGTTCACTATACCATGCTCTTTATCGTGGCCTGTTCCGGTATGTTATTCCTTGTTTTCCTTCTATCATTTTCTCTTTCTGTCTTTCCTTATGTTATTCTCTGTTTCTTCCTTCGATTCTTATGTTATTCTTTGTTTTTTCCTTCTATCACCTTTTCTTATGTTATTCTTTGTTTTTATAAATCTATCACTTTCTCTGTTGTTATTCTTTGTTTTTTTCCATCTATCACCTTCTCTTATGTTATTCTTTGTTTTTATAATTCTATCACTTTCTCTTATGTGATTCTTTCTTTTAATCATGCTATCATTTTCTCTTTCTGTCTTTTCTTATGTTATTCTTTGTTTCTTCCTTCTATACTTATGTTATTCTTTGTTTTTTGCTTCTATCACCTTTTTATATGTTATTCTTTGTTTTTATAAATCTATCACTTTCTCTTTTGCTATTCATTGTTTCTTCATTCTATTATAATGTTATTCTTTATTTTGTCCTCATTTCTTATGTAATTCTTTGTTTTACTCATTCTATCACTTTCTCTTTCTGTCTTTCCTTATTTTATTCTTTGTTTTTTCTTCTATCACCTTCTCTTATGTTATTCTTTGTTTTTATAATTCTATCACTTTCTCTTATGTTATTCTTTGTTTTAATCATTTTATTATTTTCTCTTTCTGTCTTTCCTTATGTTATTCTTTGTTTCTTCTTTCTATTCTTATATTATTCTTTGCTGTTTTCCTTCTATCACCTTTTCTTATGTAATTCTTTGTTTTAATCATTCTATCACTTTCTCTTTCTGTCTTTCCTTATGTTATTCATTGTTTCTTTACTTCTACCACCCTCTCTTATGTTATTCTTTGTATTTATAATTCTATCACTTTCTCTTATGTTTTCTTGGTTTTATTCATTCTATCACTTTCTCTTTCTGTCCTTCATTATGTTATTCTTTGTTCCTTCCTTCTATCACCTTCTCATTCTTTGTTTTATTATTGCGATCTAAGCTCAAAACAGCAGTCGACAGTCGGTCGTAAACAATTCCAGAAAGCGCGCGCCGAAGTTGACCTATACTTCCTGGGTCAAACTGCGCAGTGTGACGCGCACACTGTAAAAAAATAATAGTCGAAATAACTCAATAAAATTGAGGAAAAGAATTGCCTTATTTTTATTAAGTAAATATTACCTACGGCATCTTAAGTAGAATTTACTTATTTTGCTGAATAAATTTTTACTCAGTTAAATCGAGTTACATTAACGTAAATAATTTAAGTATTGTAATCATTTTAGACAATTAAAAAAAAAGCTATGATAGGATTACATATTGCACGATTTGGTACCCATCTAATCTAACAAGTAAAATCCACTATTCATTCACTACTTCTATTTAAGATTAATCACTAATCATCTACCACCATCACAAACTATTACATACGCTTCAATTCGACACATATTGAAAGGCTCCAAATTTTATATATAGTTGATCGTAGCATCTTAAAAGGAAAATTGGTTGACAATTTCCTGAAATATCAAGTTTTTATTTGTTTTGAACTGGGTAACAATTAAAAATTGTCTTGTCTTTGCTTAGCCATGTTAAGTGAATTAGTAAATGTTTTAAAGTCCTTAAAATTTCATTCAACCACAAAAAATTGTTTTATTTAAAAAAGAGTTTAATTTGGTCTTAATGAATATTCATAAATTATATAAATATTTCTATTACGCACTGCATCGGTCCTTACTTTAAAAAGATAAGAATAATCAACATAAATTGTTTGAGTAATACGTATAATTTATGATTTTGAGTTAAAATTACTAAATTAATACAAGCTGAAATTACTTAAAGTTCTTATGTATTTGATTTTACTTAAATATTCCACGTATGTTCTACTAAATTGAAAGTTTGAGTTAGCAAGACTTAAATTTAGTGCGTAAGTGGCAAAACTAATGTTTTCAAGTAAATTCTACATGGAAAAAATACGTAAAAATTACCAATGAACAAATTCTTTTTTACAGTGCAGTGGCTGGGCTCGAAATGAGCTAGATTCAGCGTTAATGGAAAATAACTTGAACGCTTTCCCGCAGTGACCTTGTTTTGTAACGGCGTTTTGATTTGTGATTCATGTTTGTGATTCTACCTTCGAAAAATCGCTTGAACTCACCCTGAGAGGAAACAAATATTTCTTAATGCGATTGATGACGTCATCGTCTAGCTTGACTATCTTACTGGTCCAGAAATCAACAAGTCGGGAATCCTCGTCGTCTTCGACTTCATGTGCATACGATGAAACATTGGTATCCTAAGAAAAGATATAAAAACGAATGAAAAATAAATCAAACAAATAAATAATCATCAATAAATTTATGAAATGCTTATTTATATTCTGGACAATATTTTACTAACATTTTCCGAAACTCTCAAAAAAAGCTGCCTGTGGGGGATTTGCTTTGCCGTTTTTTGTAAAATAAAATGATTTAGTAAAGCCAACCTACATGTCTTTTACAGAGTAAAGTTAGTTTAAAGAGCCTTCCAGAATACTAAATCATGTTTTATCCTAATGTATCCATATGGCATCAATCCAAAAATTTCAGATTACGGATTACAGTGCCCAGCGAAATGCTAGCATTTATGCTGTTAAAGTTTCCCTTAAATATTATGATAATCAAAATCATGACTGATTTATAAAATAATACAAAAAACACGATACGGCAAATAGAGGGTGGCCCTATCTCCATAAATCGATTGCACTCGTACAAATTCAATAATTACTGTGTATCCGTATCGGACCTTCACTATGGAAGGGATATGTAGAGTTATACACCCCTCTCCCATTCTACCGAAGCCCCTGTATTCCTTACCCTAGGCGATGTACGTTGAAAACGAAGCCTACATGTATCTGCAAGACAGTATAATCTTGACCAATTATTCTCACAGATACTATTGAATAAAGTATGTTACAATTACAGATTTCATCTCTACTTACCGGCAACGTATCTGTACTGCACTTCCCTGTCGTCAGAAAATCCAGAATGATTTGAGATATGGAGTTACGTATCTTAGGTCTCTTGTATAGATCCTTCACTAGTTCCTCACGTAAGACATTAGCCAGTGTGTTACATGTCACCATCCTGGTGGTCATTGATGTCGTCGTGTTCGCTTGCATGATGGGATGATGCTGAGTTAAAAATATTGTAATCATAACATGAATGTTTAAGGAGGTATATTCCATTTCATCTAGTGATTGTGAAGGTGTTAACAAAGGTTTGCTTGCAAGAGAGAATAAAACAACAACAACAACAATTTACCACTGCAACCTTATCACCGAATGTATTTATACAAGGACAAATCCAAAATATTTTGTCCCATGTTACCGACCACATGGCTACATTCAAGATTTCGGTAGCAATAATAGAGCTTGAATCAGGCAAAAAGTTCACAATTCCATAAAACGATTTAATAATACTTTGCAATGTATGGGAAATACCTTGAACTTGTTGACACAGATTCTAGGTGTATGGTTTTCTTGTTACGCTATAGCTTATTATATACCTCTCTTTTGGATGGATGTGATGGTTATTTTACCTGACTGCTAAGAAAGCATAAATGCTTGTAAGTAAGCAACCAGACGGCCGGCGTCTTTAGGTCCTCTCCGAGGGACCTGGTAGTGATGATTAGTGCCTTACCAAGCGCATCGCCTTGGTTTCGAACCCGGGTAAATGGATTACGAGAACACTGCTCTACCGACTGAGCTATCGCGCCTCTCTTAAGAAATCTAGCCATCTGATTGGTCGAATTTGCAGTGGTGATTTTAGCCATACCCGCCAACCAGTCAATAGTCTTTTTAAAGATGCCCGTTGCCCCGGTTACCAGGCCGCATAAATAAATTGTGTTCAGATCCCCAATGGTTTACGTGTTAAATTTTCTCTGTGCGAGCGCAGACACCATACAGTGCTTTTTGTCTGCGATTCCTAAATGATTGAAACTTCCAGTCATTTTTCCAGCAAAGACTAACAGACAATTTCTCAGATCTTTACTCAATGAAAGGATAAGGTAAAAATTCTTAGTAGATTTTTGTTTCAATTCGACATAATTAAACAAGACATCGACTGCTTTAATATTCAAGGTCTGGCTGTCACCAAGACGCGCCTCGGGGTCATGGAAGGATGTGTGCACGTTCCCTTGAGCCTATAAAACAGCCAGGCCTCTCAAAGCAGTCGATATCTCTATAATTGTATCTGCTTTGATATCATGATGAAAATATCCTCACCTGATGGGTTACAGTTAATCCTTGATAGGCTGGTATATGGGATTCATCTGTCAATTCTTGGAAGTCGGGCTTGGTGATCAAGATCTCACACTCGTCTCTGTCTCTTTCATCATTAATCTTATCAAGGTCTTGAAGAACCATACCTACGAATGCAGCATGAGGATTGCCTGAGTACTTAGCCATCACTCTCTTCTGCAAAGTCGTATTCTGAAGGAAATAAGGGGAAATAATGCATTTATTGAGTGGATGTGCACATGATAGCGAACATAGAGATCGTGTGGTCTAGTGGATAAGTTTCCAGACTGTGGACCTCAAAGTACAGGGTTCGAATCTCTACCACAGCACTAACGTCCTCTGAAAATACATAATCTATGTCTGCCATACTCGACACAGGTGTAGTAAGTGAGTATATGGTAGGATTTATTCCTTGAATGTACTGAGCTATATAAAGATAAAGCTATAACGGTAATGGTATCCAAAGTACTTTGGAAGAACGCAAAGACGTTGTATCATAATCTGATAATATGATATCCGCTATAAAACGGCATGAATTATTATTATCAAGGTTTATTAAATCAATATTTCTCATGAGTATGAAAAAGACGAATCCCTTCTGGCTTATCTCTTTATAAAACGATTGTATGGTAGAAGCAGGCGCGGATCTAGGATTTCTTAGGGGGGGCCCACTTTTTTTTTTTGGTCCCCCCAAAAAATCGCAACGACTCAGCCAGCCGCTTAATAAACGGGGGGGGGGGGGGTATATAAGAGGACACTTCTTTTTTTTTTTGGTCTCGAAATTTGAACATTTGACATTTTGTTCCGCTTAGGGGAGGGGGGGGGGGGGGTGAGGTCACCTTTTTTAGGTCAGCCATTGGCATAATTTTTTTTTTTTTTAATTTAAAAAAAAAATCACAAAAGGGGGGTGCTGCTCCAAAATACATCCCCCCCCCCCCTGCATACGCGCCTGCTCGTCTGAATACAGCTTGTCCCCTTCCGCGCGAAGCGCGGAATCTTTTACCTTTCATTAAATCATGAGAGAAAGAAGACGATTCGTTGTATACCGTTTTTTACTCTTAATCCTCGTCTAAATTCATCCCCCCCTTGTACGTTTAATTAAATCATTAGAGAAAGAAGACAATTCGTTGTACCGTTCTCGACCCTTAATCCTCGTCTGAATTCAGTGCCCCCTCTCATCCGCGCGCGCGAAGCGCGGAAGCTTTTACGTTTCATTAAATCATTAGAGAAAGAAGACGAATCGTTGTACCGTTCTCGACTCTTAAGCCTTGTCTAAATTCGGTTACCCCACCTCCTGCGTGAAGCGCGGAAGCTTTGACATTTAATTTAATTATTAGAGAAACAAGACGATTCGTTGTACCGTTCTCGAAAATAATCCTCGTCTGATTACAGTTTTCCCCTCCTGCGCGAAGCTCGGAAGCTTATACGTTTCATTAAATCATTAGAGAAAGAAGACGATTCGTTGTACCGTTTTCGACTCTTAATTCTTGTCTGAATTTCAAAAATTTCTTTTGTCTGCTCCTTTTTCTTCATACGTCCTTTTTCTTTTGGAGGGCGCCCCCACTGCCCACCTGGCTACGCGCCTGCGGTCAGATGAAAATCTTTTGATACCTTGTCCGCCCCGGAAACTCATGGGTTGAAGGCAAATTACGGTCAGATATAAAGCATTCACGGGCCCGCCTTAGGGCCCCTGGTTGGGTCGAGGGTGCGGAAACCCCGGAATCTCAGGGGTTTCAGGCATTTGATTACGGTCAGATGAACATATTTTTATACCTTATTTGTGATACTGGCAGGACACTGATTGGCGTGAGGTCCAGCGGGCGGAGCCCCCAGAAGCTCATGGGTTTTAGGCATTACACTACCGTCAGATTAGCATCAAATGGGGTCCAGGGGGCAGAGCCCCCGGAAGCTCAGGGGTTTAGGCATTTGATTACGGTCAGATGAACATATTTCATACTTTATTTGTGACACTGGCAGGACACTGATTGGCGTGAGGTTCAGCGGGCGGAGCCCCCAGAAGGTCAAGGGTTTTAGGCACTTAATTGCGGTCAGATGAGTATAAAGGGGCCTGCCCAAGGTCCTTGGTTGGGTCCCGGGGGCAGAGCCCCCGGAAGCTCAGGGGTTTTAGGCGTTTATTTACGGTCAGATGAGCAATTTTTAATACCTTATTTTGTTGTGACACTGGTAGTTAACTATTCTTTCTTTCTTGCTTTCTTTCTTTCTATTTCTCTGTAAAATGCTTTTCAAAAAAAAAATGGGGGGGGGGGAGCATGAGGCTTCCGATCCCCGCCGTTCCGCGGGCCCTGACATGTAGGCATCTCAAGAACCATATTTCTTGCCTGGCTGTTAATTTACAAACGCATACAAAAGTATTATTTATTAAAGAATGAGGAAAAATCTCGGAAAATTATGTCATTGCAGCATTATGTGTAAACCACCCTTATGGAATTAGAAATAAACCCGAGCCCCCTTCCTGATCAATACGCCAGTGCCCCGCCCCTCACCCCCCCCCCCCCCCGATCTTCACTTTGTTGGCGGAAAAATCGAAACTGATCTATTTCCCCCGTCTTTCATCTTTTTTTCGGTCCCTTTTAGCTCTCCTTTTTTTCCTTTTCCTTCTTTTTCTCTTTTTTTTTAGCGGGGCGGGGTGAGGCAAGGGCATTTTGCCCCACCCCCACCCCGATCCACAACTTGTTGTAGGAAAAATTGCAACTGATACCCCCTTCTCTCTTCTTTTTTGATTGGGGGAGGGGGGAGGCGACAGCCTGGGAGGCGAAGCTCTTTCGCCCCCCCCCCCGATCACTTCTTCCCCTTTTCTTTTCTTCTTCCTCTTCTTTCTTTCCCTTTCTCTCCTCTTTCCCTTCTTTTCCTTCTCCCTAGCTCTCTCTTTTTTTTCCTCCATTTTTTTTCCTTCTTTTTTTCCCAGGGGGGGGGGGGTCGGGCCCCCCGGCCCCCCCCCCCCCTGGATCCGCCACTGGGTAGATGCATTTTGTCCAATGAACAATAATATACATACCTTGTTTCTGGGATCCACATTCTTGTAAGGTTTGACACGTTCTTCTAACAATGCTACAATGGCAGCCCTAATGTAGCCCTTTTCATCGTATGGCGCGGAGCTTATGCCTCAGTCACACCTTTGCGTATTGGGCTTGCGTATTGCTGCGTATTGCCCGAACGCAGACATAGGCAGTCATACCCAATAAAGCGCAATGAAACGTGCTCACTGCGTACTCATTACGCAGACTAGCGCAAAGGCATGCGTTTGCCGCTCGCTAGTTTTAAAATTTTCTAAACTATCGCAAGCAAACGCAAGGTCTTATCACCTACGAGCGGATACGAGTGGCAACCAGTGAATGCGAGCAACAGCGAGTGGCTTAGCGCAAGTATACGCAACCATACGCACCTCTTTTCTTTGGAGCGCGTGTCACTGCCTATAGCTGCGTTCCCTGCACGATTTACCTCGCAAGAGCTCGTTGTCGTTCGCATGATTGCGCGTATTGTTGCGCTGTTGCTCGCCTACCACCCGCAGCAGCAAGAACTATTGCAATTGTCGCTCGCTACGCTGCGAGTCTAGCTCGTACGCCGTTCGCTTCGCTCTCTCTTACTGCGATTAGTTGCCTAGCACCAACCTAGCACCAACCACCGTCGCTGCGCTACATAACGTTAATAAATAAACATAATTCGTCTCTGCTTCTTCCAGCTGAACCAAAAGCTTAATCTTTTGCAAGGCAGAGCTCTGCTCCCGGGCCATTTTTTTCATTTGATTGATTTTTCTTGTAGATGTAGACTCGTCAGAAGCCCGCAAAATGACTTTTATTTATACGCCGTCGCAGCCCAAGCGAGCTGGTACGCTGTAGAGCGAGCTGGCACGCAGCAGTACGAACAACAGACGAGCTAAAGCGAACGAACACGCAGTGAGACGCAACGAGACGTACTGGTGCGAGCGACTAGCGAGCAGCAAACGAGCAAAGAACCAGTTACATACGCAACATGGCGAGCAAACTGCGTATTGAATCGTACTGCTATGAGCAACAGCGAGCTATAGCGTGGTCATAGGCAACCGTAGGCAGTCTTAGTACGAGAGGCATACGAGCTACCTACGAGCTAGATACGCAATAGTGTGACTGCTACCTTCAAGTTGGCCACGTATCGCTGGGAACGGCTGCGAATTGATATACCCGGAACAGCGCAGCAATACGCAGCATCATACGCAAAGGTGTGACTGAGGCATTAGATCATCAAGAAGCACCAGTCCTACCAATGGGATCGGTTGAGGTTGAGGTGACTGGAAAAAAGAAACAGATTTAAACTGGAGTATAAGTTATAAGTCTGACAATTTAATGACAACTGAGAAGCCCCCAACGGAAATAAAACACCACCAAAAAACAAACAAAGATCATAAACTTGTTGCTGTGCCGTTTCCCCCTCCATTTCCCTTCTCTCTGTGTACGTATCTGTAGGGGGGGGGGGGGGGGTCACGTGTCCCCATGGTCGATGCCCCCTGATTCCGCTACTGGGAGTAGAATAATTTTAATGTTGATGTTAGTGATGGTGGCTTCTTGCGTAGTGTCTGCACACACTTTTTTTTTTTTTTTTTTAACAATTTTGTTTTATTTCTCCAGATGTGTAACACAAACCATGACATACAATTGAATAAAATAAACGTGTTCAATATTGATGCTTTTACATAAACATAATTAAACACAAACTTATTTGCAGTATAATATAACTTAACAACAAAGTAAACGTATAAGTACCTAAACATAATATGTCAATTGTAAATGTTATTTACTTATATATTACAAAAAAAAACAAATCTGGAGATAATTTTACTGAAACAATCCTGCCCCCTCCCTGCCCCCTACATCACACAGACATACTCACCCTCTATCACACAAACATACTCACCCACTCACACACATACTCACCCACCCACCCACCCACCCCCCCCCCCCCCCCACACACACACACACAGTACTCACTCAGTGGATGCCTGCCAACATTCTCAACTTAAGAAAAATATACTAAATAAGTTATCCAGGCCGCAAAATCGAGTTACGCTTTTAACAAGCTCACGGTGGAGAAGAAAGCAAATCTTAATTAATCTTAAGCTGCTCCCACTTTAAAAAATGTGATCCTAGCTTTCCCATTTTAATTGCTATTTTCTTTTCCTCATCCCTATACTTAAAAATGCTTTTTTTCATCTTTTCTAAAGTTAGTACTCGCCCCCCCGATCTTGACATAAATGTAACATACTTCACCATGAAAATGATAGTATTACACATTTTTATTCTATATGAACTACCTACCAACCCAACAAATATATCTCGCCATTCTAAATCTTTAATTTCATCTAACTCAAAAAGTTGTATTAAAGCCTGCCATAACCTTTGAACGCTCCCACAAGATAAAAATAAATGTTTGTATGTTTCTATTTCCTGCTTACAAAACGAACATAAATTATCACCAACAAAACCAAATCTATGAAGATGCTCATTAGTGTATATGGCTCCATGCAATAATTTAAATTGAAATTCACGTTGTTTTCTAATGAGTATAGTAATTCTTGGTCTCACAAATATTTCTTTTAATTCTTTATCTATAAAATCATAGTCATTTTGCCCATCCCTTACCTGCAAATCATACGTTCGCTGCAGTGCTTTGATGAAATAATCATAGATTGTTCTTGAACCCACATCCACAAACTGTATTTTTTTACTAGAAATATGGAAATAAGTATTAAAGCTTATCAAATCAACCTCGAGGAATTCTATTAACCCTGAATCATCCTTCCATAACCTGGGTATCGCATCATAAATATCAATAATCATAAGCAAATTATTACCTTTCATACCGAGGTTCATAAAATATTTAACAGGCTTAATATGACCTTTCTCAACCAAATGATTCAGTTGAACAATCCCTCTTTCAAACAAGTATCTATCAAATATACTTTTTCCATTTATACATATATTCTGATTATTAAAAATAATTGGATTAATATAACCCTCCAAATATCTTAAATTACTTGTCTCTTGCCATGCTTGCAACATTTCCATATAGTATGGTGGAATATCTAAAACGAGTTTAATCTTGTTTAAATCATAATCACATAAAAAAATAAATCTACCACCCACAAACTGTAAGCAATGATCAAAAAACAATTTCCATCCCAAACTTTTCTCTCCATATAAAAGACGTTTTATCCACATTATGCGCTGTATTTTAACGGACATTTCAAAATTAATCATTCTTAATCCTCCAAAGTCATAATCCTGATACATTATTGCCCGTTTAATTCTATCTTTCCCCCTCCACGCGCATAAACGCACACACACACACACACACACACACAAAGCATTCGCCCGTAGTCTACCCCTGAAGGGAAACTGTCAAAACCTACACTGTACATCATCTTTTAGCATAATGTAAGCTAAAAAATAATTACTATAAAATATGACTCTCTTTTAGTATGTTGAATAAATCTAGTCATCTGATTAGTCGAAAATAGAGTTGTGATTTTAGTCATGCCCGCCTACCGGTCAATATATTTTTTTAAAGATGCCCGTTGCCCTGGATAAGGCCAACAAAAAAAAAATCATTTGGTTGTCCTTTCGCCCCGCCCCCCCCCTTTTTTTGAGTTTATATAGGCCTTTTTTTTTTTTTTTGATTATTATCTTCTTTTTTTAAAATTGATTTATGTTTTTTTTTTTTTTTAGCAACTTTAAACGCCAAACATACCATTTTATGCATGTTGCAATGATCAAAATATGTCCCGTCGCCAATTTGGTCATACAGTACGCAATTCTGTCTTTATATAATAGAGTAGAGGAGGGAGTTTTCGTCCGGGTGGTTATTTTTTGGCAGGTCCGTTGTATGCATGGTAAAATCACTTTAAAATACATTACATATCACACACATACAAAACATGTCAGAGTCACAGGAGAACCACATTTGCAATGGAAATGTATAAAGTGTATCATATTTTAGCGATGTAATCGGCGGTCCCGCTACCTAAATTTGAAAAATCGATATATTACGCATGTCTATAAGGAAGATGGGTACCAAAACTTGAGCTGTATTTCAAGTATTTTTCAGATTTAGATCGCGATTTTTGTGTATCGCAAGCTCAAAAGTGTCTCACAGCACGTATACAATCACTGCAGTCAGATGCACTAACGATATCTCTCTTTAATTCAGATACCAATTTCTGATCACCGCAGGGGTAATTTTCGACGCGTCAAATGACGCTCGTGAGCGCTCCCTATTGATTTTGTACATGCAGTCGAAAACTGCCTTGCTATAGTTGAAAACTACCTCCGAAACAGCGAAAAAGAAATTGAATATTGCCATGGCAATTCATGGTTTTTTTCTGGTGTTCGTTTTTTGTTTACATAAGAACTTTGTTGGCTTCTTGATTTGAACAAAAAAAGAAAATAAATACTAAGTAAAGAGTCTAAAAAAAGAGAGAAAAAACTGGAGGGAAAAAAATAAAATCTGCCCGCCCGCCACTACTCCAGAAAAGCAATCAAGAACAACCAAATGATTTTGTTTGGGTCTAACGGGCCGCATAAATCAAGCTTGCTGAGATCCCTATTGGGAACGACGCGAAATCCTCATTTAGGGTGTATTTTGGCTTCATAATAAATCCTCGTTTAGGGGGGGGGGGGGGGGGGGTCTGGAAAACCTCTGAGACCCCTGGGGAAAAAAAGGTCATGAAATAGAGAAAAAAAATCTGCCCGACCGCCACTACTCCAGGAAAGCAATCGAGGACAACCGAATAATTTTTTTTTTTGGTCTAACGGGCCGCATAAATCAAGTTTGCTGAGATTCCCAATAGGAACGACGCGAAATCCTCATTAAGGGTGTATTTTGGCTTCATAATAAATCCTCGTTTAGGGGGGGGGGGGGGTCTGGAAAACCTCTGGTCACGCATGCTTACAGTATTTCTACATGACCGAGACCCCCGGGGAAAAAAAGTTAACCGAAGAGCCGTTTGCGTTGAAATTCGTCATTCTTTGTAATAAAATAATGAAGTTCCCATACCATATTTGGTACAAGCCCGCTGATTGGCTGTTGATTCACTTGGTGCGTCATTG